GGCACGGCCGAGACACCCCGGGACCCCGCGCGGATCCTTCGGCGCCTCCCGTCGCGCCCACCCGCCTAGACTCTGGTCTACCAATTTCCCGCTCTCATCCAGCTCCCCACAGTCCCTGGTGGCGTTGAGTCCTTGTTGTCTTCTACCCTCCACCACTTCCAGCTGAAAACCGTCTCCTCCGCCGGGGTGGGGCGCGCCTCGCTGAGCTCCTGGAAGGACGCGGACGCGAGCAGGAAGGGCTGTTCCTTCCCCCAGGCTGCTACCGAGGACTCTCGCTCCGGGAGCAGGAAGCAGGAACTCCCGGCGCTGCTCCCAGATCCGCCACAGCTTTCCCTCTCCAGCCCTCCCCAGTACCGGCCCTTTCAGTTCTCTCAGTGTCCCTCGGGATCTGCAGAACTGTCACCCAGAACGCAGGGAAAAAAAGGGGAGACCCGTCATGGGCTCGGTTGTAACTCTGTGACTCTAGCCTGTGAATAAGTCCACCGGATGCTACGGAGAATAATAAGGATATAGGGTCCCGGCAGGGGTTCACAGAGATCTGGAACTTGGCTGGGGACCCTAGATACACGACAGTGTCGCCAAGTCTGGGTGTTGTAGAAACGTGCCAGATCAACTTAGGAGAAACACGTGGGCTCGGGCTGAGTAACCAATTTGGCTTAAAGCAATTAGTTACTACATAGCTCCAGCACCCACCTTGTCGCTTCGGGAAACTTAAAACCAAAGAAAAGACTTGGCTATTTTCAAAAATCTATCTCGGGAGCATTATCATTTAGTTTTCATTGCTGTGGTTCTCCCAGTCTGATCTCCTTGGCCAAACAAACTCTTGAAGGCAGTAAATGGCTGGATTTATCTTATCTTTTGCCCAACACTAACAACAGAAGACGAGAGCTGCCTGTTAAATGAAGGGTGAGTAGCAGAAGAAATGTTGGAGTGTACCCAAGAAAGGTGATCTAAAGAGTCTGCGGAAATGCCGGCATCACGGGACTAAGTAGCATCCAGCCTTACAAAGTGAAGACTTTGAAGGAAGCAGTCCTCATTTGGATATATAAATTCTGGTATGCTTATTAACTAATGAGTCATATCAAAGCTTGGTCATTCCCATTCACAGGAAAAGGGCAGCAGCACAAGGCAGTGTATCTGTGAGCGTGAAGTACAAACTGTCCTACCTCTCAGCTCAACAATCCTTTGAGGAGCGTCTGTTGACTCTGGCACCAAACTAAGTGCAGAAAGAGGTCTCTGCCCTCAAGAAGATCACTATAGGAGCAAGGCAGTAATTCAATAATGCGACGACCAACATGAATTCAAGAACGGAAACAATGAAATTCAAGGCACAGGGTGACATTTCTCAGGGTGATGTTTACTCAGGGTCCTGTGTATGTTGGGCAAATGCTCTGCCACCGCACTGTGCACCCCCCCCCCCTGCCTTAATTCGCTCTGGTTTTCGAGGCTGGTCTATTGAGTCACTCAGGCTGACCTTGAACTGGTCAATTCTCCTGCCTCAGCCACGGGAATAGCTGGAATCACAGCACAGATCTTTTGCTGCCGGGTCTGTGGGGTGACCTCCATCCAATTCTTGAAGGACACGGGAGTTTGCCGAGTGGTTTTCCAGAAAGGCTTGATGTGAGAAATTAAGAACGGAAGTAGTGGGGTATGGTGGTGCCCACCTGAAACCTAGCTCGAGGGAGGATGCAGCTTAAGACGGGCATGGACAAAAGAGTAAGGGTAGTGAGTGCCAGACTGTGGGGCTCGCACAGGCTGCGCTGACTATGTGGCCATCACGAAGGCCGCTTAGACCCAGGTGTGACTTGAGACCCTCTGACAACGGTCTTGACTGTCATGTGGAGACTCCTGTTCTGTCCTAAACACATGCAGTCACCCTGAGACTGAACAGAGAACCTCAGGATCTAAAAATAAAGGTAAATTCAAGTGTGCTCTGTCCTTCAAGCTGAAAGAGAAGCTGTCACAGCTGGACAGCTGACCACATCCCAGAGAAAGAGCTCTGGCCAGCTGTGGTGTGGTGGCCTGGTGGGAAGGGGCCTGAGAAGGTTAAAGCAGGAAGATCAAACGGTCAAGGCCAGCCCGGACTATACTGCAAAACTGTCTCAAAAATAAAATGTAATAAATAATTTGAACTACAGGGAAATAGGATCAGATGGGAGGGGACTCTGGCCAGGACAATGTGGGATACAGACAGAACATCCCTTCACAGACAGGAAGGGTGCTTGGAGATCACACTGCTTACCTGCTTCTCTTCAAAGCCATTGGGGAGCCAAGCTGGGAAAGTGTGTCTTCTCGCTGCCTGGTTCGCTTCTCGCTGCCTGGTTCGTAACCTTTCTCGAGAGTTCTAGGCCTTTGGGAATTCCACTTTCTGAGCAAATCAGGACTATCTCAGAACACTTTCTGCTAAAGGAAACTAACCAAGTGCACCATTCTGAGAGGCTGGTGGCTGGCAGTGACTCTTTTTATTCCCCTGGAGCTGGAATTACAAGTGATGGGCTGGGAGCTGCCTGATGTGGGTGCTGGGAGCCGAACTCCAGGTCCTCTACAGGAGTACCAAATAACCACTGAGTCACTGTCCCATCCCCCCCAGTGGGGACTTGACAGAGGTCATCTGCCCAGCCCAGGTGGGTTCAGGCTGGTCCCTTTATTCCCTGAGCCCCAGGAATGAAGACACAGAGCCCCTTCAATTACATCACGTGGTCCATGACTTGCCTCATCTACGGAGCTCCAGTCTGTTCCGGTCCAGCAAGTGGGTGGAGGCCAAAAGCAAGGTGGTTTGTGGTCAGAGCTGGTTTTGATGTGGGGAGAGTATTTGTGTTGATGAGGCCCCATGTCAAACTTTAAAACCATATTAATTAGGGCTACCATAGGCTGCTTGGTATTATTTCGATTCCTGTAATAGACTTTGTTTCTTTAACCTACTTGGGTCAAAATCAAAATATTTATAAGGATCCTTTATTGAACACATTCACTCACATGTACGTGATGGAATCGGTCGGCTCCTAGTAACAGGAATGTTTAAGATTCGTAGTAGTTTCTTTAGTGTTTTGGTTGTTTCTTTGTTTGGTGCTGAGGCTCAAACCCAGAACCTCACATATGCTCCAACACTAAACTACACTCCAATCCCTACACTGTGATATTTTAAATAAACCAGATATCCATGACTTACTTACTGTATGGAAAGGACAGATGCCCACACACACACACTCCCTTCCCTTAGATATTTTGAGACAAGGTTTCTCTTTGTAACAGCCCTGCCTGTTCTAGAACACACTCTATAGACCAAGCTAGCATCAAACTCACAGAGATCCACCTGCCTCTGCTTCCCGAGTGCTGGAATTAAAGGCATGCGCCACCACCGCCAACCAGGCCAGATTTTCAAAGTAGAGTACGGGTACACAGGTTGGCTCCAGAAGGTTGGGGCTTTTTGTTATTGTTTTGTTTTTTAAGGACTTCTGAAAACAAATACACACACATAAAGAGAGAGAGGAGAGAGAGAGAGGGATTTGTTAAAATGACTTACCGGCTGTAGCGTCAGCTAATCTGATGTTGTTCAGTCTGCAAGGCGGAATGTCTCAGCTGGTCTTTGGGATACATCAGAACCCCAAAGAAGTAGTATCTTCTGCCTGTGAAGGAATGGACTTGCTAGGGAAACAGAAGCAAGCAGACAAAAGGCAAGAACTTCCTTCTTAAATTCTTATATAGGCTTCCCGCAGAAGGCGTGGCCCAGATTAGAGGCGCTTCTTCCGGTCTCAAACATTCAGGTTAAAGCCGGACAGTGTACTTGGGGGGCAGAGGCAGCTGGATCTCTGTGAATTTGAGTCCAGCCTAGCCTGCCTACAGAGCTAGTTCCAGGCAGCCAGAGCTACACAGAGAAACCCTTTCTCAAACAAATTTAAAAAAAAGATTCAGATCAGAAGAGGGTCTTCCTGCCAGGGCAGAGGTGGCACACCTTTAATCCCAGCATTTGGGAGGCAGGTGGATCTCTGTGAGTTCAAGGCTAGCCTGGTCTTGGAGTGAGTTCAAGGAGGAAAAAAAAGTGGATCTTCCCAATTCAAATTAAGCAAAAATCCCTCACGGAAGTGGCCCATTTGGGGAATTTAGTTGATTTAGTTACTGTAATCAAGTTGACAACCAAAAACAGCATCACGTCTATTGACCCACCTCTTCAGCCCCTAAGATTTCTTTCCTTAGCTCAGCAGATAGGCAGTTCCCAGTTACCTGTAAGTACAGCTCCTGGGAGTTCTGATGCCTCTAGATTCTCTCTCTCTCTCTCTCTCTCTCTCTCTCTCTCTCTCTCTCAAACACACACAGACACACACTGGAAAAGAAGTTATTTGTAGTTAAAAGGGTTCAATGACTGGCTCTTTGGGAACCACCACCTTCTGAAAGCCCCAGGCTTTTCACGGACGTCCTTATCCGAAGTCCGCACTTCCGCTGACGCTAAGTCACAACGTGAGTCTGCAAAGTTTTCCCTGTGACTCAGTTTCTCAAAAACAAGGGCTGGCAAGATGGCTCAGGGGTAATGGCACTTGGTCTG